CCCTTGGGAGCCCCGGCCAGGAACAAAGCCTCGTCTGTCTCCAGGCCCCAGCTGCGCAGAGTCTTTAGGGCCCGGGCTCCCGAGCTGGCCGCGCTCCTGGCCGTGACCAGGTAGGTGCGAATGGGACACTCCATCCTCAGCCCCTTGGAATAGAACTTCTTCTGCAGCTTCCCCAGGGCCTCCAGGAAGCCCTTCAGGGGACCCTGCCAAAGCGAGAGGGAACCATCACTGTGCAGAGCTCCGTGCCACCCCCTCCTCTGGGCGCCAGCAGTCCCCTCCCTGCTGTGAGCCCCCCTGCGAGGGGCCAGCAGGACCAGGCTGTGACCCACCCCCCCTCACGCTCCACGTGCCAACCCTCAGCTTGTCCCCGGAGGTGAGAGCATCCCCAGGGGCTGTCTCCCTCCCGGAGGCTTTTCCTGGCTGCACCCCAGCACTACCTGTGCCAGAGGCTTGTTCTCATGAGCCTGCTCGTGCTCAAAGAACTTGTCCAAGCCGTGAGCCTTCACGATCTGCTCCGACTCGTCAGAGAAGAGCACGGCGTCACCGTCAAACGCCACCCGCAGCTGGTCCTCAGACACCTCCAGGTCTTTGCTGGGGCTGAAGATGGTGGCTGCAGCGATCCCTGTGGAGGGAAAGCGTGAGGCAAGAGGTGGCAGTTACCCAAGGAGCCGGTCTCGTGGCTCATCTGTTGAGGAGCAGAGCAAAACACGACGGGCTGGAAGCAAACGCCGCAAAGAAACGCACACACCCCGCAGGGCCTGCAGCTTGGCCCCAAGAAAACAAACAAAACAGCAAAACCAAATCCCCAGATGACAAATTTCCCTTTGCAAACAATAATTAACGGGGGGAAACGGCGTCTTTGCCTTGGAAGAGCTGTGGAGCTCGAGGAAAGCCTTATTTCTATGGAAACTAGAGGCTCTTTGGAGGATCAAGGATGGGACGTGAGACAAGGCAGACCCTAGCTGTGCACTGACACAGGGACAGTGACACTGGAGCTATCAGTCCTGGCACCAACCCCCTGAGGGCTCCAGGCTCCCCTCGCAGCCCCCCCCACGCTGGACCCCAGACTCACCCTCTTCAATGGCCCCACTCACTTTCTCGGCGTCGGAGGAGAGGTAGAGGTTGGTGTGATAGGCCTTGAGGTAACAGATGGGGCTGTTCCCTCCAGTCATGCAGAACCTCTCGATGAACAGACCTGAGGGCAGATGGACCCTGGGGTGAGCCTGATGGCCCTCAAACAACCTGCTCCAGACGGGGGCTAACTTGGGTCCTGCCATTCAACAGCACGGCCAACAGCCAGAGCATCCTCACCCCACCAGCCCACGTCTACTCCAAGCCCAGGAAACTGAGGAGAACTGCGCTCAGCGTGGGGTTTAGAGGAAGAGACGAGAGAAAGCACCTCCTCATCTTCTCACCAAGCACTCCCACTCCACCCCACAGCCACACCCCCACACTGAGCACAGCCTGGCTCGTCCCTTACCGTAGTGGTTGATGCTGTTGATCAGGCGGACCCCGACCTGGGCGTGGTTGTTGGTCATGAGGACGATGTCGAAGAGCTCCTCGCTGTCGGGGTACAGCCTGCGCAGCTGCGTGTTCACCGCCTCCAGCGCCTGCAGCACCCCGGCGAGGGCAGGGGGGTCAGGGAGCCCAGGCAGGGCAGGACCCCCTCCTCACCCAGCAAAACCCAGGGATCCGGCCTGACCCTGGCTACACCCCTTGATTTGCAAGCTGGCATCACCAAGCAGCTTTAGCTGGGGAAAAACGGCTGATCTGGGGTGAAAAGCACATAGCCAGCCTTCTATTTTCAAACACAAAAGGTTTCAAGTGTTTATTAGATGAGAAGAAACGAGCTCAGAGTTACAGATAAATGCTTTTCTAGCAATCAGAAACAGAACAAGTCTCTCCCCACCAAGTGGATTAGTTTATTCATTGGGAATGGGCAAGAGATCGTTTCCGCGTGGGCCAGCACACAAAACTGTGCTAAATCCAGTGGAACTGGGGCAGAGGCTGGAAAATGTTTTTGAAGTTTGAAATGCCTCATTTCAACACGTCGAAAATTAGAAATTGGCCGGCTGTGTAGCCAGGCTAAATTCAGGCAATTTAAAAGAATAAATAAATTGTCATAAAAGATACGAGAATTCCCAAAAGGGAAACTTTAAATACGACCCAAATAACTGATTTCTTCAATTCTAAGGCTCAGTTGTCAATTTGGAAAATTCAGTGTTTCTACAATCCTGCAAGAAGCACATCATTTGCCAGGGGGTTTATTTGACCTCTGTTTGCTCTGTGGCTTCATCCCCTCTGCCACGCTGCTCGTGTCCCATCCCCTCCCCACCCGAGCACCCCACAGCACTCCCCTCTCCCCAGAACTTTTTGGTCAGGACCAGGGCATAAATCCAGCTGGGGCAGGTGGGGGCTCACCTTGACAAAGGGGAAGGCAGCCCCAGGGAGGAAGGGCTCATTCTCGTGGTCCAGCTGGTATTTCACATAGGCCTCCACCCCCTGCTCGTTGTAAATCTTCTGCTCCTCCTCCATGCGGAACAGCGCCCGCGAGGACACGGCGATGGTGATGGCGTTCTCAGGCTTGGGCTGCAGGGAGGGGACAACCTCCGAGTCACAGACTGCTTTGGGTGGGAAAGGGACCTTCCCAGGTCACCTCGTCCAACCCCCCTGCAGGGAGCAGGGACATCTGCAGCTAGAGCAGGGTGCTCAGAGCCCCGGCAAAGCTCACCTGGGATGGTTCCAGGGATGGGGCCGCCACCACCTCTCTGGAGCTCACCACCCTCAGCAGCAAACATTTCTTCCTTATCTCTTATCTAAATCCCTCTTTTAGTTTAAACCATCCCCTCCTTGTCCTGTCCTTGCCACAGGATAGGTGAGACTTCCATGGTCAGCTACAACCCCACTCTTCCAATGCCTCAGCAAAGCCCTGATGCACCAGCCCCACACAATCGGGAGACCCGAGAGCCTTTTTCTGCTGCTCACACCATGCCCAAGCCCTCCCCGTGCAAACAGGCTCCCAGGACCCCTCCAGACCCAACGTGCCACCCCAGGAGCACCACTCAGCCCCGTGCAGGAGGAGTTTGTGCAGCTCTTCCCCCCGACTAGCCAGGGAAAACCACACGCTGTGCTCGGCCAGATCCGCGCTCCCACGATGCTCTCCAGATGTGACAAAACAACCCGTGCCAGCTCAGCTTATGAAAACACTTGATACAGTTATTGTGGGTGGAAACATGACAAACAGGTGGTGCAGGCAATGATTTATGAGTCATTATTATTAATGTTTGAGGGTTTGATCCAAAATCCACCGAAGTCAACAAGGAGCCTTTAGTGGGGCTTGGCAAGGAGAGAGGGGACACCAGGAGAGTCAATCTCATCGTGCCCCCCACTCGTCCTTCCTCTCCCCTTGGAGGGCAGAAGGGTGTTAATCCCTATCACTCGCTTGTGAGCATGAAAGCAAATTCATTACTGCTGGCCAGCCAGAAATCCTCACTCCCAGAACAGCAAATCCCAAGGAGGGAGGAGGCTCAAGGAGCCCTGTCCCCAGCAGAGGTGCCTGCAGCGAGTCCCAGGAGTGGGACAGGACTTGGGGGCTCACAGAGGGGATGATCCCCGGGTGATGCTCCCCAGGAGCAATCCCAGCCCAGCCCATGTGCTCTCTGGCTGCATCTCTGCAGGGAGCTGGTGAAATCCAGGCCATCAGCACATCAGAAACACCTCACCCTCAGCTCCTCTGTGATTTCCAGGATCTGTGTGTAGCACGTTGCCCTGTGAGTAATCCTCCAGCAATGCTGTTTGCCCGGGGGTGGGAGGGCACCTTTGCCAGCCACTCCACACACCCAGGTGCTCCAAAGTTCAAGCTCCCACCCTGCCTAGGGCTGAGCTTTACAGAAACAGCAGCCTGGCAAGGATGAGGTACCCCATCCACATCGGGGATCTTCACTCCCCGCAGGGCTGGGCTTGCCCTGGGGCTCCTTCTGCCCCCAACCCTGCCCAGCTGATCCTGCCCAGCGTGGGGACCCACCCAGGAATGAGTCAGTGGCAGCCCCTGTGCCATTCCCAGCTCCACACCCACCCCGTGAGCAGTGCCCAGGGCCACCTCTGCAGCATGGTCGGTCCCAGACACCTCTGCAAGGCTGCATCACTGCCTGAAATCCCCAGCAAGGAGATTAAGCAGTGGGTGATTAGGACTAGACACAGATTAGCACAGGCTGAGAACATCCCTGTGGCCAGAGGGACCCTTTTCCCATGGAGCTTGCAGAGAAGTGAGGCCCCGTTTAGAAGAGGCTCTTTTGGGAAAGCAAGTGAACAACCCCCAGCACACGCAGGATCACCCAGGAGCTGAGCAGTGACACCAACATCACTTCCCCAAGTGACCCACAGCCAGGTCCCCACCTTACACTCAGCCAGTGGGTGCTAGCCATTAACTCGTCACGGGCCACGTCTTGCCACACCAACCCATTAATTAATAACTCTGGTGTCATGGGCCATTTATTAGCTGAAAATATTAATAACTACTAAAGGTCTTGGGACATCCGGCCATTAGCCTTCAGCAAGGAGTCTTGCCATGTCCCTGCAGCTCTGGGTTATTTATCTGGGCACAGAAGAGAGCTGCTGGGTGACAGCTCCCCACTCCTGGTCCCCAGCAGACCCCAGGGCAGAGCATCCTCCACAGCATCCTCCACGTCCCTGCTGGGGGATCCCTGAAGAAAGGAGGTCACCAGCATGCACAGCACAGAGTCAAGGGGATCACAAACTGAGCCTACTTGGCTGCCCAGCCTGAATTTGCCTCTCGACCTCACCTTGGTGGGTGCCAAGAGCGCGGGCACCTTGCGCAACGGCAACAGGCAGCTCGAGGCCCCTTCCCTGCCATTTAAAGGCACCAGCCTCCAGGAGGTTAATTTAAGAGGTAATAAACACAGCAATAAAAATAACCATAAGCTCGGGGCCTAATCCTGTGCCCCAGCAAGAGCTGCTGGAGCCCTGGCTGCCCGCGGGAAGCCCGGGCACTGGGAACGGGACCTGCCGGATCCTGCTCGCTCCTGCCAAGGGAGATTTTGGACCTTGGGAGCACTTTGTGCAGCAGGTCTCAGCCCTGGCTGGGCTGGAACGGCCCCTGCTGTGCTCTGGGAAACGCTGACATTTCAAAAGCAGGCAGCTCTGCCCTGTGAGGAGGGAGCTGCAGTTTGACATTTCTAGGAAGCGGAGGTTTGGTTGGGAAGCGCTCCCTCCTCAGGGCTCTTTGGATGCTTCTCCATCCCTGCGAGTGCTGCAGATGAGCATTACTACCCTCAAAAACAGCTTTCAAAAAGGCACGGCGCTGGAGGAGCCACAGCACCTCAAATCCTCTGGCAGAGTGCTGGGAACAACCCAATAACCCCCACTCTGCCTTAAAACATCACAGTTTTAGGAGAAAACACCCTTCATTTGTAGTAAGGAAGCGTGTGCAGGGGACGGGTCCCACTCATCATCCTCACTGGGGTGCATTTAGTCTCACGAGCTGTGGTGGAACCTGCACAGCACCCCACCCCACTCCAGCCTCCTGCTCTGGCTGCTCCAGCCCTGGCAGGTTTGGGCACTCCAAATGATAAACCCTGCTGTGCCCTCGGAGCAGTATCCAAGGTCAGCCAATGTCACTTAAAACTCAGCATCCAGCACAAGCCCAGGAAGTGGCTGTGGGGCTCAGCTCAGCTGAATCCAGCCAAATTTGCTGCCTGGGGAGCCATGGTGAGCTTCCCATGGGAAGGTCAGGTCCAGCCCCATTCTGAGCATCAAGCATGAGATGAATGACATGTCTAACAGGATTCCCAGCAGGGCAGCACGGGAGAAGGTCTCATCCTGACCCTGGAAGGTCCCATCCCAACAACCCTGGGTCCATCTCCAGGCTCAGCCAGACAGGAAGGACAAGCAGTGGCATCCTGACAGCCCAGCCCTCTGAAGAGGAGCACAGCTCCAGGTGATCCACAAGGTCCAAACCCCATCTCAGAATCGTGAGCTCTCCAGCAGGCTCTGGCTCCATAAAGTGCAAAACCCACCCCAGACCCAAACCCCCCCAGTTTTGGGGTAAAGGTGTTATTTCAGCAGCAACTGGAAATGGCCCATTTTCCCCGGCAGACCCAACAGCTGGCAGGGCTTTAAATCGCCCTCCTAATCGGCTGCAAATCCTAAGCAGCCCCCCCAGAGGATTAGAGGCAGGCATTTGGAAATCCCACACGCTCCTGGGATGTGCAGTGGGGCTGTGCCCCCCTGCCCACGACACCCACAGATGCCCACAGTGGCACCCAACACCAGTGGCTTCATTGCCACCCCCAGAGGCCATCACTGGCTGGCTCTGAGCAGGGGGAAGGGGGGGGCTCATTCTGCACCCCTGGATCCTTTTGCATTGCCTGGGGCTAAATCAGCTGGACCCACCCAGATCCTAAAAACCTGGAGGAACTCTGGCATCTCCAGGCACTTTCCTGGATGCTACAGAAGAGCGAATCCTTGTGGCCAAGTTCAAAATCCAGAGGTGAATTTCAGTGTGAGATTGGGCCACAGAAAGGGGAGAAGTGCTTTCTCTAGGGTCAAAAACGAGGGACCTGCTCAGCTGGATGGGTCCCCGTGGGTGCAGGGGATGAGCAGGGCACCCAGAGGAGCAGAGCAGGAGGTCAGATCCCACCAGCCTGGCCTCTGCCCCCCACACGGCGTCACTGGAGAGGCTTGGGGGACATTTTCCACATTGCTGAAGAGTGACAAGTCTCATCACTGACCTGCCCAGCTGCCTGGAGAGGGGCCAGAGCAGGCACAGGAGCCACGGCCTGGGAAGAGGAGAGACCCCTGCAAAGCAGGGAGCCCCACGGGCTGTGGGGATGCCCAGTTAACCCATTTCCCAGCCAAAAATGGGCTCCCCAAAGATTATCCTGCTGCCTGCCCTCTTCCAGCCCATCTCCAGGAGGGTGCTGCCCCCACAGCTCATGCCAGCTTCCCAACCATTACCTGCTCCAGCTGGTAGAGATGGACAATTCTAGAGCACAAATCTTGTGAGGAGCAGCTGAGGGAGCTGGGGGTGCTGAGCCTGGAGCAAAGGAGGCTCAGGGGAGACCTTCTGGCTCTGCACAGCTCCTGACAGGAGCCTGGAGCTGGGTGGGGGTCGGGCTCTGACCCAAGGAAAAAGCCACAGGAGAAGAGGAACAAACCTCAAGTTGCCCCAGGGGAGGTTTCAGTTGTCCCTGAGGAACAATTTCTTGCCCTGGAGGGTTGCCCAGGGCTGTGCCAGGCTGCCCAGGGCAGTGGTGGAGTCCCCACCCCTGGAGGGGTTTCCAAGCCGTGGAGATGTGGGGTGAGGGACACGGGGCAGTGGGGACCTGGCAGTGCTGGGGG